CGACACCAACGTCGACTGGAGCAACACTAACTCGGGGGACGTCCCCGATGGACGAGGCCGACATGGAGTGGTCCTCTCCTATACAACCTTCGCGCCGCTCCCCCTCCACCCCGCCGACTCCCCTTCCCCACCACTGCAGCACCTCCGCCCGATGCCCGATTGCCTACGCTCCGGCGCGCCCCCTCCGACCCGTACGCGCCCCTCTCCCCGCTCTCCCAGCCCCACCCCCCGCTCCCCGAGCCCCGTCGACGAGAACGAACCCCCGTTCACCATGGTTGTCGACCCCACGTCGCCACTGGAGTGGCCGACCTCAACTGTCCGAACGGTCCTCGGCACCATCAGCGGAGGTGACCTCACCGACACCACCGACCCCGACGCCCTGTCCGCGCCCCCTCGCCCCCCCAACCCCCCCCGCTCCGCCAACCCAGACCCCGCACCCCCCCCTACCCCACCCCTGCTCTGGGCCCCGCCACTGTCCACTATCGGATGCCCCTCCTCGGCTATCCAGCATACGGAGGGGCCCTCCTCTACGACGAGCGACTCCCGGACGGCTGGCAGATCGGGCCAGACGAACCCCGTCACGTCAGCGGACACCCTTGGGAGTGGCGTATCTCGGGCCACCTCAACGGGACGGCTCTCCTTGAGGTCCAGCTCCGGAGCTACGCCTGGGACGAGCGGTGGGAGCAAATCCCTGGCGTCGACAACGCCTACCTCATCGGCGTCTTGAGCGACAACCTCCACCCCAGTGGACGGTTCACGGAGACCCAATATCTCGGGTTCCTTCGGGCGATGATCCAGGCACGCGACCCCGCCGCCCGCGTCACCGACCACGACGTATGGTGAGAAGTGGCCGACAACCTCATGGACGCCTACGACGTCCGCAACATCCCCGTGTCGGTCCGTCAGTACCGGAACGGACGCGCCGTGCGGCTCTACGACAACATGTCGGCGCACGACGTCCATCGCAGCCTATGGGGGAACTTCTACGACGACGAGATCCTCGATGTCTCCGACTACGGCGACTCTCCTCCACCCACCCCTGCCACACCCGCCGCACCCATCGAGGACGTCCTCCGTGCTCGCAGCCCCTCCCCCGTATCGCCGCCTGCTGTCGTCCATGACGCCCCCTTTGACGCCAACCCTTTCCGCCCTGTCCGCCCCGCCCCTGCTAACCCTTCGTCCCGTTCACCATCGCCCCCCGCCACCTCCTCACCCATCGCACCGTCACCGTCCCGCACAATCACCTTCATTGCTGGAGGCTACTTCAGCCCGGACAACCCTGGCTTGCGCATCGGGCTCTGGTACCCACCCGCGCCTTCGTCACCACTCACGGAGCCGGACTTGGAGTTGAACGATCGGGACGATCGTGCTTAGAAACGGGGGTAATGTTACCGTTGGTACGCCCCACCCCCTATCTTTTCGTTATTGGACTACTCCTTCTCGTCGCCCTCGTGTACACTCCACTCCCCTTCCCGTCCCCGGCGACCTATGCTTACCTTCCCGTTCCCTCGTCGTCCGCCTGTACACTATCATCCCCCGTTCCGCCCCCTGACGACTATGTTCCTAGCCCCGGTCCTCTCCCTCAATATCTCCCCTTTCGTCTATATGACCGGACCCTGAGTCCGACCCTGACCGTTTCCCTTTTCGGTTACATTACTTTACCCTGACCCAGACCCCGACCCTTGTCGCGCCCCTTTCCCT